ATAACATCCCTTGACCTGCTGGCCACACTTCTTAATGCACCCCAGGACGCCATTGGCCTTCTTGGCCACAAGGGCACATCGCTTGCTTATGGTCAACTTGTTGTCCACCAGGACTCCCAGGTCCTACTTTGCAGAGCTGCTCTCCTGCAGGTCTACCCCCAGCCTGTACTGATGCACGGGGTTATTCCTCCCCAGCTTCAGGACCCTACACTTGCCCTTATTGAACGTCATCAGGTTCCTCTCCACCCACCTCTCCAGCCTGTCCAGATCTCGCTGAATGGCAGTGTGTCAGCCACTCCTCTCAGCTTTGTATCATCAACAAACTTGCTGAGGTTGCACTCTGTCCTTTCATCCAGGTCGTTGATGAATATTTTGAATAAGGCTGGACCCTGTACTGATCCCCGGGGAACACCACTAGTTACAGGCCTCCAACTAGACTCAGAACCATTGATCACAACTCTCTGAGCTCTGCCATTCAGTCGGTTCTCAATCAACTTCACTATTCACTCATCTATCCCACACTTCCTAAGATTACCTATGAGGATGTGGTGGCAAACAGTGTCAAAAACCTTGCTAAAGTCGAGGTGAACAACATCTACTGCTTTTCCCTCATCCCCCCAGCCACTCATGCAATCATAGAAGGCTAACAGGTTGGTCAGGCATGATTTCACCTTGGTGAACCCGTGTTGACTACTGATAATCCTCTGTTCCTCCACTTGTTTAGAGACAACAGCCAGAATGAGCTGTTCCATCACCTTTCCAGGGATGGAGGTGAGGCTGACTGATATGTAGTTCCCCAGATCATCCTTCTTGCCCTTTTTGAAGACTGAAGTGACATCGGCTTTCCTCCAGTCCTCAGGCACCTCTCCTGTCCTCCATGACCTGTCAAAGATGATGGAGAGCAGCGTAGCAATAATATCTGTCAGCTCCTTCGGCTCTCTTGGATGCATCCAATCAGAGCCCATGGATTTGTGAGTGTCCAGTCCGGCTAAGAGGTCCCTAACCCAATCCTCCTCAACCAAGGGGCAGTCTTCCTTCCTCCAGACTTCCTCTCCTACCTCCAAAGTCTGGGATTCTTGACGACCAGCCTCAGTAAAGACTGAGGCAAAGAAGGCATTCAATAACTTTGTCTTGTCTGTATCCTCCATCACCAGGGCTTTTTTTTTCAGCAGGGCGTCCACATTTTTGTGGTCTTCCTTGTGCTACTGATGTATCTGAAGAATCCCTTCTTATTGTCTTTGACGTCCCTAGCCAGACTTAATTCCAAGTGGGCCTTAGCCTTCCTCATTGCATCCCTGCACACTCTGACAATATTTCTATATTCCTCCCAAGTGGACAGTCCCTTTTTTTTTACATGTTGTAAACTTCCTTTTTCCCTTTGAGTGTTTCCAAAGCTCCTTGTCCATCCAAGAAGGCCTTCTGCCTCCTTTGCTTGATTTCTTCCTCATAGTGATGCATTGGTTTTGGGCTTGGAGGAAGTGGTGCTTGAATAGCAACCAGCTCTCTTGGGCCCCTCTACCTTCTAGAGCTCTAGCCCATGGAATTCCTCCAAGTAGGTCTTTGAAGTTGCTAAAGTTAGCTCTCTTGAAGTCCAGGGTTGCAATCCTACTGATTGCCCTGCTTCTTCCAAGCAGGACCTTGAACTCCACCATCTCATGGTCACTATAGCCAAGCTGCCTTCAACCTTCACACTCCTGACCAGTCCTTTTTGTGAGTATGAGACCCAGCAGCGCACCTCTCCTTGTTTTTTCTGCCACCATCTGAGTCAAAGTTATATCATCAGTGTTCTATAGGAACCTCTTGGACTGTGGCTGCTTGGCTGTGTTACTTATCCAGCAAATGTCAGGGTGATTGAAGTCCCCCATGAGGATGAGGGCCTGTGATTGTGAGGCTGCTTCCTGCTGTCTGTAGAAGGCTTCATCTAACTTCTCATCCTGATCAAGTGGCCTGTAATAAATGCCCACAACAACGTCTCCTATATTAGCCTGCCTCCTAATTCTTGCCCATAAGCTCTAGGCAGACCTTGATACACTCCAAGTGCTCTCTCACATAAAGAGCAACTCCCCCACCTCCCCTAGTTGGCCTGTTTTTCCTAAAGAGTACATAGTTGTCCATGACAGCATTCCAACCATTCAAGCTGTCCCACCATGTCTCAGAATCGAACTTCCTTTCATTTTTACTTTGACATTTCACATTTCCACTCCCTGGGTAGAATTCTTCTTTCCTCTTATGCAGGACTTTCTTGATCTTCCTCTTTGTCAGTATGTATAATAACTCATGGAAAATTTTATAAAATAAAAGAAAAATGTGAAGATCGAAAGGGGATTGGCTTAAGAGAATGACAGGAAATGAGCCAGTTTGATTGTGCATTTCCTTATGGGAATTAAAAAAATGATAGGTAGTTGAGACAATGGAAGAACGGTTAAATAAGGAGCACAAAGGTTTGTAAAGTACACTTTTAACACCCTAAAACCAGGTCGAACAAGTATGTGAAAAGTGTAGAGGCGGATAAACAGCAAAGAGCACACACACAATTTTTAATCATCTTACACACTCATCTAAATTATGAAAGAAGCAAGTTTGTTTGAAATATCAAAGTATAAGCTTCAAATACAAGCTTCTAAACACTGGGTTTTTTAATATTATTTTATTTTTTAAGAAATACTCCCTTCCAACCTATTTTTCCTATTTTCTTCTTAAGACACAGTAATACTCTTAAGATCTACATGTTGCAGGGGATGTACAATCAGCCATGTAGTGTGGATAAAAATCAGTTCTGAGAACCAGTACAAGGTCCTATGAGTGAAATAAATCTGATAGAGTATGAGTGGAAACTAATTCCCCCCAAGTCTTGTTCTAGCCTGCACAGCTGTGAACATTCTTCTGTTTGAATTCTTTATCCCCTAAGTATTTATATAAAAATATGACTCATTAGAAATAACTGTTAGCTAAATTCATAAGAACTCATAGAATACATTAGCCTACTCTCAACATTCAGAGCTCTGTGCTTACTACTTGTCAGACTGATATCACAGAGTTCAAAAGATGATGAGTTGCGTTAATAAATTATTACAAAGACAAGATAATATATTTGATACATACTTGTGTTTCCATCAGGAGCCGATGAGTCTAAATATGACATACTATTATTGAAGTATTCAAATAACATTGTATGACAAAAACACAACACAAAATATATTAAGGCAACTAGCACGCTTTCCTGGAACAGAAACTATTTATAATGTCCAGGATTAAAAAAAAAATAATAAAAAAACCCCAACCCAATCACCACAAAAAAAGACCTTTTTAGAAAAGGCGGGTTTTTTTTCCTTTTTTTTTTTTACACTTTTTTTTTTTTTTTCTGCATCAGTTATGTGCTATCAGCAGTCCTAGCACTTTGGTCGTTTTAGAAAACAGACGGCTGACAGACATTTAAGAGAATAAAAATATGGAAAGGGAAAGCAGTGTATCTGAAAGTATTTTACATTTATACCTTCTAGGTACTGTTTATTTATTTTGTAGGTTTTTAATTCCAAGATTTGTTTGAATTTTGCTAGAGCTAAATTTTGTTTAGAAACACCGTAACTATTTCTCCATTAAATTCATTTAATCAAAAGCATTAAACAGATTGATCTGCAAAATATAAACATTATAACCCAGAAATTACTCATGTACTCTCTGTTAGCAGAGTCTTTAGCTCAGAGTTAGAAATCTGGTTTGGTAATTGAGAACACTTCAGTTATACACCTTCACTTTGGATTCAGAGCAGTGTGCTGGAGAAGGATTTGCGATCAACTGCTATGTCCTAAATGCAGTCATTTGACTTAACCACATAGCTGTTAAATTCTTCTGTTTTGCATTCTTTCTTTTTTTCCTAGGGCCCAATATTTAACTAGCTATATAGAGTGGATCAGCTTTAGCTGTATCCCAAAGTCCTCACCAAGGAAGTAGGATTTACAGGTCCATATCCCTGCTCCAAAGCAGCACGAGACAGGATTTGACAACCTACCTGTTATGTGAAAATGTTATCTACCTGGCTATTGGGAAACAGTGTCTAGCCAAAGCCAAAATGTCTGGTTCCTGCCTGTCCCTTCTGTTATGCATTATTCAGTAGTGATGATCTAAGGAGGCCTAAGACACTGAATCTGACTGGTGAGATAGGCGGGAGAAAGCCTTGCTGAAAATGCCCCTGGGGTTAGGTGTGAGCTTGGGATTTAATCGTCTCGCATAAGCAGGACTTGGGCAGTTCTGACATGCCCACTGGCAGGAACTATGTGCGCTTAAGCATCACTGGGGCAACTACAGGGTAACAGCAGATAAGTAGGGCTTTTAAGGACCTTAGAAGCAGTTAAACACTGCTGAAAGAGAATGAAAATTAAAAACCTATGTGTGTAAGTTAATTTTTAAAATGGGACTTCGGTGTTTTTGAAAACATCATCCTGATAACTCAAAATGAAATTTAAATATACAGCATAAATGCAATTGCATTTTTTTTGTCCTACAATATCATTAAAACTATTTTTTAACAGATTACATGCTCAATTATGTGTTCCTTTACAGCAGCTTCATGGCAGGGAAACTCCAGCTGATGTAACAGAGCAGAAAATCAAGCTCTCTTGGTCTAATCTCTAATTCACATTCCTAAAAAGTTAGAGATGCAAAGTGGACCCAAAGATTAGGGGATATCAGATCTCCAGAGTTTTGGTCCAAGCCAGTCAGAATACTCCTGTTTCACTCAGTGTCAATATTACAAGGTCTAAAGAGTCTGTGGTGATTTAGCAAAACCAACCTTGCACCTATTAACAGTTAACCCATGAAACTGCCCATGCATTTAAGCACAAGTATCCTATTAAGCACATAAATAGGCACTGTTTACTTTGCTAAAGCAGTGCCACAGTTCTAACATCTTGAAGGGCTGAACTCTCAAGACAACAAGGTTTACTAATTCTTATAAATATCCTCCAAAATATGATTTTTCAAAAATGTGTGACTGCTTTCAACTATGTTGACAATAGTACCATGTCCCCTGAAGTTATTTCAGAGTCCTGACTATGTGTAGAGCTGATTCCAGTGTCAGAGTCTGTATCATTTATGTCCAGATTGGTCACTCTATGAACAAAGTCAGGAACAGCATTGCTGTTACTGGAGATGCCACTGCCCTTGGATGGCTCTTCATTTGATGGAAGCCTAGTTTCAGTGTTGTCTTTAACATGTAGTAAATTAAATTCTTCTGAAAGAAGTTCATATTCTTTTTCCTTCTTTTGAAGCAGTGAGTCCCTATATGTAAGTTCTTTCTGAATGCAGCTCAGATATGAGTTGATTCTCAAACCATCTTTCATACTTTTTTCCAGCTCATATTTTATACTTTCCAAATTTGAGCTTTCCAGTTCAGCATTAGCAGTTCCTTCTGTGCAAACATCATCTCCACTTTTTTCTGTGCATATACCATGTACCTCTCTTTCAATTTCAGCACATAGCTTCTCTATTAGTTGTTTGTGATGTTTCAATCTCTCTTCAACCTGTAAAATTCCCTCACTTTTGCTCAAATAGTCATGCATGTCTTTTTGATCATCCGGCCTGCTCCCTTGCTGCTCAGCCTCACTTGGATTGATCATTAAATAGGAGTCCTGCACATAATTTTCTCCATCATTGGCCACACGATCTAGATGGAATTTTGCTTCACATTTTTCAATTTCCATATCTAGTTCCTTCATTCTAAGGACTTGTTGATGAATGGTATGATCTTGAGAAATGATCAGATGAATCAGTGTCTCCATATTATCTCTCTCTTGCTGAACACTGTCCTGTTTAAGCTTGGCCAGTTTCCGGAAAGTCTTCCTCACAATTTTCTTTTGCTTGTCTATTGGCAACATCTTCATGTAATTTGCTGGACTAAGCTCCCACTGTTTTTCTACATTTTGTACTACCTTAGCTTCAGCTGTCTTCCACAATGGAAATGAGAGGAAAGCATCTGACTTTACCAACACAAAATGCAAATTAGACTGCTCTTCCCCCCAGGCCTTCCAAAGCCTCAGAATCTTTGTCAAGGGAGGAAGTACACGCTCTGAGCCTCTCCATTTTTCTACAATGCAGTAATCGCTAGGTTTTCCAAAAAGGACCTTTTTCTCTCCAAACTTTGCCTGATGCTCCTCAAGCAGTGCTTGAATCACTTCTGCGCAAGTTGTGCGCTTTGTCAGGCCACATACAATCTTCTCTTCCTGGCAAACCCAAACCACAATCTCTCTTTCATTTGAAGCCATGTCCTTGTTGGGAGACCTGGAAAACAAGAAGAAACCTAATATAAATTACATATCAATGGCAAAAACTGTATGAATAATATAATTCTGATATGATTACCACATTGAAAAATCCCCATATTATTGTACAAGACGATATACATGTTTAAATTACGTGAAGAAATATATTTGGATTAAGTAACAGAAAAACACATCCATTTCAGCTACCCCTTTAATATTGTTGCTAGTCCAGCTGAATGGTAATCTCACAGAAAGTGTCTTTTATTAAATTTAGTTTTTGTATGCATAAGTGTGTATTAACAATAAGCGACAAAGTTTGACAATCTGCATTACATTTCCAGATGTCTTAGGATTACATAACTTTCAGATCTGCATATCTGTTCTCATCACACAGACATTGTGCAAACATTTGTAAAGTCTTAATATCACTGAGGCTTCTGAAGAGAACAGTCATGCCTCCAAATATGCACTGGACATAGGTGGACAGAGAAAAGATGATTGAACACCATCTAAGTTAAAAGAACTTGATGATAGGTTAAATTTATAGCTCTTTTGCCACACCTGCACCCATACAAGCATAAACACTATTGTTTTCCACTGTGATTTTTCACTAACAAATCTCAAGAAATTTGTTGCTTTTTCTGAAGTAGCAAATAGCCTGAATTCCTGTGAGTTGTGAGAGAATACCAACTGCGAGAGAATACATATATAGACCTGTATTTTATAACCTTTGTAATGACACAGAAATGCCAGAAAATATAAAAAGTTTATTATTTTTTTTATTTATTTATGAATTCCAATGAATGTGCTACTAACCTGATATTAGCAGCCGGTACCTCCTTAGACATCAAGATACATAACTTCAGGTGTCTAAGATCACCTTATGGCTACTGTAGCTATCTAACCAATACAATCAGTGGAGCCTAGTGAGCAATTCATCTGATCAAATGTAGAAGTTCACTTTACAATTAGCTGTTAGGTTTGTTCCCATCTGAGTAGTCTTGGACTGCCGTGGGCCTACATTGGCAGAGTAGCCTTGTGGAACCTGTCAGGGATATTCCTGTCCTCTAGCCTCCACATGCATACTTTGCTGCTTGCCCAGACCTGGTGATTTAGCCTCTTGCCTAAAATGATAAAACAATAAATTCCCTGAGGAAAAATGCATTTCTTTGGTTTTTCTGGTATCACTTTCAGTTCGTATGAATGAATAAGATTTAACATAGTCTGACAGAGAAAGCTTGAAAATGAAAATGACACTTCCGATAATATTCAAAGGGCTCAATATGACATTTGTTTCTATCTGGGACTACTTACTCGCAGTATTTTTCTAGTCTTTTGAGATGTAGTAGAAATGGAGTTTACTTGGCTTAATTAGGGTTATACCCTATGATTATTAAAGCACTCCAACATGTTTCTTTTTTCTTAATTATTACACAACGTGACAGACACACTGCAATCCAATAAACTCAGTTATGATTGACTCAGCTCTAGGTGTCACTCTGACCAGGAGGCAACAATCCTCAAAAGACAGGAGATTGCAAATGAATACTAATAAAACCTACAAGAGTGAGTTTATTAGTATCATCACACAGGAGAGCTCTGTCCCACTACGTTGCTCCAGGTCTTGGAATATTCCTCTGTAAAATCTGTGTTTTGGTAGATTACTCTGAGTAATGACATCATTTTCCCACTTCAATGGATCCTTCTTACAAACCAGCATTTTACAGTAAGTATTTTTTAAAACTAGCGTTCAGAAGATTAATAAAGTTTTCATAGACTACTTCTCAAAATAGGAAAGCATATGTCACACATAGAAAATAGCAAAATGGAACAAAGAAACAGAAATATTCAAGTTTCTTAAATATGGGGAGGGGGATGAAAGACGGTATCAGATTAAATGGCATTACTGTTAAGTATGTCACTTGCTAAAAAGTCAGTATATGTAAGTGGTTTTAGGTTTACAGAATACAGGATGCTATAGATGAAATATTTTTGTCTGTTGACAGATTGGTAGTTAAATGAAACATAAATAGACAATTGCAGCATAAGTCAGCTGTGACTGTAAAGTAACACGGTATTTCTTTTACACTACAGATATAAAAAGAAAAAAAACAGGCGAAGTAGAGGGTTACATTATATAGTAAGCATAAAATTATACAAAATGGATTATCAAGAATATAGTGTCTTAAATCATGTTCATTACCGATACATAAATAATTGACTTAGAAATACAAGTGTCTTACCAGTCGTTGAATTTCAATTTATAGAACTACTGACAGAAAAAAAAAAAAAGGCATTAAAATATAGCAAATACCAGATTGGGACTTCAAGGCAGTAAATTCAGAGTGTGTATTTCCTGTTGGTTTTTTGTAAGTAATAAATACATTTCAGGGAATGAGTGTTATCTCAATCTTTTAGCATTCTTCTGAGAGTCTTATGCAATTTGTTTGCACATCGAAACTCTTCCTATTTTTTTCTTATTCTTGTTTTTGATTGATTGTCATATTTTCTCCTAGTCAATATTTTCAGTGTGTAACGGGTTATGTGTTGAGCAGAAACTTACTGTCTCTTTTCCTCCTGGCTCCTTTAAAGCTTTCTTATGAAGGTAATTTCTCTCTGTGGTATTAGTAAATCTTCAGATAAGTTTGAAAACCCCTAGATACACCATAGTATTAGTCTGCTGATAAATACTTTTGCTATATCCATTTTTAAATGGACTTCCTGCAGAGTTAAGCTAGCTGCTGATGGAAATATATTGTTTAGTATAATACAAACTCTAGAGGATCTCTATAGACAATAAGGATACAAAATAACATTTTTAAATTACTGTTTTCAATAATTTTTTAGCTGTTTATCACCTCCTGTTATTTTTTCAGCTGTGATGCACCTGTCTACCCAGACTCGACATTGAGCTTTTTTGGGAAGGATTCTTCTTTACTTTGTCTACAGTGTATTTAACATACAGAAGTCTATAACTAGTAGTAGTACTGCATGAATGGATAATGTATGCATACACAGGTATGCAGAGAACTCAAGTAGCTTACACATGAAAATATATACTTATAAATATACATATGTATGTATGGCGTATGTAACATATACCTTGTAATTATATTGTCACCTTTTACAGAAAAGGAGAGAAGAAAAAAAGAAATTCTGAACATTATTGTAATTTTTGGATCAAAACAGAACTGTAAAGTGCAAATTTTCTCATTATTTTTTCCATGTGTTTGTCACAACATATATTATCTTCATTTTTATTCAGTAGCCTCACTGAATTTTTGATCCTTCTTTTTAATCAAAAACAATTAGCAAGTCATTTATAATCTTATAGTGCCCTGGAATTCTAATATCTTCTAAAAAATCAAGTGTTCTTCATTATCTTCCACTAAAAAATGGTAAACTGATATGGCCTTCCATGGGCCTTTTAAGTAAAATTTATTGTATAATTCTTCAATCATAGTTAATTCCGGTAGTGCCAAACAAAAATGAAGCTTCAGCATGTCAGCCACAGCATGACAATTATTAAAGACTTCCTTTCAGGATGCAAGAAGATGCTAATACTAGGAAACCTCTTTCATTAAGCTGTGTTTTCCTCAAAGAAAGTGGAGAGCAGATTCTGCATATACAAAGTGGAATTCATCTCTTAGGCATCTAAAAGTTAAGATTTCAATATAAATTCACCATCAAAGTTCCTCTCTTCATGAGAGGAGAGTGGACCTCCAAGGAGAAAGTCACCACAGCCTAAATCATCTATGATTATTGAGATGAATCCTCAAATGAAGCTATTTCTCTCTTTCATTAACTACAAGAGACCTATGTGGCCACTTTCAACTAAATAGCTTGTTTTCAGGTAGCTGAATACAGGTGAGAGTAATCCAGTCAGATTCTGGTTTATTGTCTGAGAGAAATGTAACAAGAATGGTTCAGACATCTATGGATTTCATAAAGATAACTAGATATGGGACCTACACATTACAACTTCATAGCTTAGTTTAGACACTATTCCATTCATTGTATAATTTATTACTGTCATTTATAAGGAAATCAAATAAGTCATTTCAATACTAAGGAAGATGTAATGCAGTTTGTAACTATTCATCTTGAATGAATATTGGTCATTTACCAGTTACTCTTTTGTTTTCTGAGATGTAACACAAAAAAATGACAATATTCAGCAATAAGATCTTCTTTCGGACAGTCATTTTAATGAAGAGGCAAGCTTCTCATGTTTAAAAAATGCTAATTTAGTAATGTCCTTGTGATGTTTTGTGACGAATTGGTTCCTTGGCCTTCACATTGTGCAGTTTTGTAAAGGAAACAAAAGAACTGTCATCTTTTAATAATGTATCGATTAATGAATCTGTAATAGCTAAAGCGTTTTTCAAGTCTAAATGTTTGGCTTTTTTGAAAAACAGTTTCAGCAGCAACTAGCTAGGCAACTTCTTTTTTTTTTTTCAAAAGTTTATTGCTGTAGCTGTAAACAGGCATCAAAGCTCTCCATTCTGGCTTGAATTCTGTTTCTTTGAATTGATCACTGAAATGTTCTACTTACCCATCTATGATTTTAACCCTTGATGATAACAACAACATGCAAGTCTATCTTTTTTTTTGCAGTTACTTGTTGCTCAGGAAAAGATGGGAATTTAAGCTTAAGAATGGTCAAAAGTACATTTCCAATCTTGCTTGTTTGTTTGTTTCCATTGTTAGTTTCATGCCTTCTACTCTTTGCTTCTCTTCATGATGACCCAAAAAAAAGTTCTAATCATGTTATAGACCTCACAAAGTCTTGATTGTGTCAGCATAAGCTAATTGTTGCATGTCAGATACACACGTCGTTAATTTATTATTCAGGCCTAGGGGAAGAAAGGTAATACATTCCAGTAATGTATAGACAAAACAAAAACATGTACTTAAGTTGCACAAAGTCAAAACTTGAGATAGCTTAAATTCTGGAAGCAGAACTTTTTATATTCACTAACTTTAAGGGATGTCCAGCACAAAAACACACA